GATGATGGATGGATGATGGATGATGATGAAAACCTTGGGAAACGTGAARGAAAACTTGCAAGTCAAGTAACGTAACTTGCAAAACAAGTTACGTTACAAAGGCCGTAAGGTTACTTGCAAACTTAAAAACGTGATTTATTTAGACTACGTAATTTAAAAACGATAAAACGTAATGTAACTTGGAACGAGAAACGAGATGAAGATGAGTACTTAAATTAAACTTTGAGAATGCGAACGTAACTTACAAAAATCACTTCTTGAAATRTTAAATACGATAAACAAAAGCTTGGCACCAAAATGATGTTCTTGAGAATAGTCAACACAAGATTATCACAAAGTTACAAAAAGTACAATGAGATGGTTAAGAAACTAGATGACTTTTGTTGGTGAAGAAAGTAGGTAGCAAGATGATCCCAAGGAGAGAAAAGAGTAAAATAAAATTAAGTGAAAGTCTAAAATGAAAGTTAAGTTTTGAATTACAAAGGTCAACATTCCTTTAAATAGGCTAAGAGAAGCTTCATGGTGGATGACAACTAATAAGACAAAAGATCCCTCCAAGCTGGGCTTTGACTAAGCCCAAGGATGTTGACCAAGCCTTCTTCTTGAATTAGCCCATTAATCCATGGCCCAAGCAGTTTTCCAGCTCTCGGACAGGTCCTATAGGACCTTGCCACTCCTGGTCCTATAGGACTGCTGAAGGACCGGTCCCAAAAATGCTCAAAAACCTGCAAAAACAGGGGATTAACATTAGATATATACTATAACTACTATCATATGAAAAAGATATAAAAAGACTCAATTAGGACACTAATGGGCAAATAAAACAGCGGAAAATGGTTAAGAAAATGATGTAATAAGGTTAATAAATTAACACTTATCAATCGCGTTGACCAAGTCGTCCGTATCCTTTTGGACATGGTTTATCACATGTGAATTTAGTCTATGATCGCATGTGAACTTGAAACTTCTTCCTTTCTTATAATTATTGTTTTTGTGTTTGATCTTGCCTTTATATATGTAATTAGTTTTTATTGGAATGTTTAAGAGAAGATAAAAGATCTGTGATGGGCAAAGGCAAAAGTGGATGTCTAAATTCATGATATATTCTTGAAGTATATGAAAATTTGATCCATAATTATTGGATAAGGATAAGTATTTAATTAAGTTATGTTTATGGAGTAGGGTCATTTTCCACGTGAACACCATGCCCTAACCGCTAGTTTAATTAATCCTCATTTCCTTTTAAAACAATTAATAATAATAAAAACATCTTCCAATAATCTTTAAGTGTATATATATATAGGATTGAGTTTCGGTGATAATGAAAGTTAACGTAAGAAGGATTAGAAGAGATTTTTATTCGTGGATCAATTCTAATCGAAGATTAACAGTATTGATATGCACCAGATCAATTCCTATGAGAAGAGCGATTCATAAAGTGTGTGGGATTAAAAGTGATCAAAGGTTCAGATATCTTTTTATGTTTCTTACCCTAACTTTTATTCTCACATGATCCTTCCTCTGTGTGTGTATATATGATTAAACACATATTGCATTGACAATATATAAACGTTTAATCAAATATTTTGATTAAACACACCCAAAAAAAATATAATCACATATGATATTGAAACTTCTCAACTTTTCACAAATTAATCAACTTTCTTTCATTCCCCTCTCTCTGTATAAAACATCTTCCCCAATAATCTTTAGGTATTAATATATAATTAAAGCTTCCAACACAGTCTATAGATTCTAGATCAATCCAAAATGGTCCATAGATCTAGGTCTTACAACTCTATTCAAATCTTCAACGTTATTCAAATTAATTTTTGACTTTAGTTACACTCAACTCAGCAGCCTTCCAAACTATCGCCTTTGAATGCTTGATGCTGACACTGTGTGGGTTTCAACTTATTATAAACAACATTAAGAGACCATAATCAGTTTTACAATAAATATCTATAATAAATCATTAATAAATAAATAAGTAAACCAAATATTATGATATCTTTGAAAAGAATGAAGCAACATCTAAAAGATGAAATGCACCGTCGACTAATTAGCATTTGGATACCCACCAAACAGTAGGACCCGACCCACTTTCCATAAATAGAAATAGCCCTCTCTCATACTCATACCCACCATCAACCACCCCCATATCTTCTTCCCTTTTGGAGCTAGAGAGCAATCATACAACCATGAACAACTTCCATAACCAAAAAACAATCTCCCCCCATAGACACACCACCAAGAGACTAACCGAAGATCAAGTTCGGCTCCTGGAGTCGAGTTTCGACTCCACCAAGAAACTTGAACCCGAGCGAAAACAACAGCTTTCGCGCCAGCTTGGGATCCCGCCTCGGCAAATCGCCATCTGGTACCAAAACAAACGGGCCCGTTGGAAGAATCAAAGCCTGGAGCATGACTACTCTATGCTCCAGCTCCAGTTGCAGGCCACCCTTTTGGAGACTAGACACCTCCAGAAGGAAGTGGAACACCTTCGAGCGGAGCTCAATAAGGTACGAGGGGAACAATTAGCACGGAATTATAAGTATCAACGACCTCCTCCTGTCGATTCTTCCTTCTCGAGATGCGGTGAAGACGTTGGAAGTTCATCGAGAAGCTTAGAAAACGATCATGTCGACAATTTGTATTGTTATGGGGAACAAGTTTTTCAAGTAGAGGAGATGTATGCTGCTGCTTGTATGATGGGTGCTGATCTTGGACTCTTTGGATCCAAAACAAACTTATTTTAGTTATAATATTTGATCATATAATTATCATTCTTATCTTACATAAAATATATAATTGTATCATATAAATATGTCTTACAACATGCACATTCAATGCTTGCTTCTGCAATGCAACCATCTCAAATCTTTAAAAGGTAATTAATGATATATGTATCTCTTTCGTAACAGAACCAGTATGCATTAGGAATGTAAAAAAATAGGTTTAATTTGATATTGATATGTGTGAGGAGGAAATTAGCAAACTGTTTAGCAACAAGTAGAGGTGTATACAGAGGATATCTCGATTGGGGAGAAAACGGGGAAATCCCATATGACCCAATATATCTGACAAGTCGCACTATATGTCAACCCAAGATGCATCTTCCTCTCCAGCATTTCGAAAAGGTACTTTTGGATTTAGCCACCTCAATACCTCATCTTTAATTGCTAGGTGTTGCTATACGAACACCTATTTACATCAATGTGATATCAAATTGTACATTGAAAATGTAAAGTTGAACTCTTGATATTGATATAGGTGTGTATTTAGTCTATCCTTATATTATGGTGATGCTATATGCACCCTTTTTTATATCAGAATTAGGTCAAATCATGTTTTAACAATATAATATTATAAAAAATAAGTCTTTATGTTATATATGTGAAAATGAAATTAGCAAGTATGAATGCCTTTAACAATATATAAGGATTCATTTAATTGTCCCCTTGTTTTGTTTGGCGGTCAAAAGCTAGTAAATATAAGTACCATTCGAAAGCCATCATGGATGGGACCAATGTAGGGGGAGGGTAGGGGTCTCGTGGCCCGAATGTGTCGGGACCAATGAATCATCATTTCAGGTATACTTAGATGTAGATCTGACATAACTGAATTGCATGGACGAAAATAAAGTAGCCGGGTGAAAGAATTATAAAAGATTTTCAGCTTTTAATTTGACACAAATAGTTTGATGATTTTCTTTGTTTTTGTTTCATATGTTTTAGCGAGACAGAAAAAGTGCATTTGTAATCGCACTTAGTTATGTCTTGATTGTGTCTAACGAACCATCATACATGTGACAACAAGTTTTTACTCTGTTTCGTGTGACTGTCAGATAATAAATATTTAACGCATGTATTTTATGTATATATAGCTTTTACAAACACCCCCTTCATTAATATTTGTATTTTTCTAAAAACATTTAATAGACATTTGACAAAAATATTTAAGTGGTGACATGACATTCATTGGTACTTAAAATCACCAAGTACACAAAAGTCTCCATGTTCATGTAATGTCGTCGTTGTTTGACTTTTATATTGGAATCAATATATCGTATAGCATTCAACCGGATTAAAATCGATTGTAGTTTAAAGTATTTTAGATGACTATTTTATTTTAAAAAAATTCAAATATTTACTAAAAAAATTATTTTAATAATTATGTTAAACTCTTCTCTAAAATAAAGAAAAAAAAACGAGAGAATGAAAACATATCTGAATTATGAAGAATATAGAAGGAAAAAATATAACATACCTCTTACAGATGATCTAATAAGGGGTTGTTTGTTTACCATTAATAGTTCCATTAAGAAGTGGTATTTGAATCGTTAAGAGATGAATCTTGTTTGACAATTACCAAATAATTATATTTCATTTTGCACTATATCATGAAAGTTTTTTAATCATTCTGACCACTTAAATTGTACAAATCATTTAACAACTGTCAAACAACACATAGGTTATTTTAAATTGATCCATAAGTTATATTTGGTTAAGAATCGGGATGGGAATCAGAAGGGTTATTTAGAAATTTAACTTTAAAAAGAAAATTTGTTTTATACTCATCTGAATGTGTGAATTTAATTAAAATCTCATTTTAAAATTATATGCCTAAATATTAACGAATCGGAATTGGTGGGTTTTTTGATATTTTTTTTGGGTCTTGAAAAATAGATGTTTTAGTCTATATTTTTAAAATTTAAAGAAAACAAATCAAAGTTTTGTGTTTGATTCATGATTCAGAGTTTATTTATGTCGATTTACCGATTTGGTTCTTAAATCCTATTGAGTTTGGTTGAGTTTAACATGACGAATTAACTAACATTTTGCTAATAGTCGAGTTTCACCATTCTTCCAATTTCAAGTCAAGCATGTATTTAATTCTCAAATATATATTTTGGAAATAATTACAATATGATAAAAACAAGTGGTATTAATATTTAATTAATGCGACATTAAAAGGTGTTTCTAGTTTTTACTTGTGGTAAGACTTTCTAGAATCATCCTTTATCTAAATTCACTTATGTTTACGATGATATGATTTCAACTTGATCTCACATACATCCACTAGTTAATATCCTTATGAATACATATCAAATTAAAATTAAATCAGGCAAAATTAGAGCCGAATAAAAAAAACAAATCTATACTTTGGGTTTATTTCAATTTTGAGCCAATTTGGTTTTGAATCAAGTTCATCGACAGATTAACGGGCTGTTTTATCAAATGCTTACAGTGTAAGCGTTTATTGGTGTCGTTTACCTTCAGGTTGAACAGAGGAAAGACCTTGAATCTTACTGGGAAAAAGGTGTAACAATGACTGGGAATCTTGCATAGTAAGTAAGGGAGAATAATTTTTCTTGGTAAGGGTTTACCAGGTAAAAGACACTTGCTAACAATTGATTTTGATGATAAAAAATCTTACCTGATAAAGCCATTAATGCTAACGTTCATGCGGATAAGCGCTTACCTGGTAAACGGCCCAAGGAACCGTTTATAAAATATTTACATGGTAAATACTTATTGACAATAGTCATAATCATCACTTACTTTATCGGATAACATTCTCGACTATCAAAGTGGATTGTTGGTAAATGTTAATTGGGAAATAAGTTTTTCTGTCACTTATGAGGCAAGATTTTCGATTATTGTAATGTCTTTTGTCAAATAAGATTCTCGATCTTTATCATGCTTATCCATTAAAATAAACTAGAAAGGTACTCACACAATGCAATAAGATACATCTAGATTTCAAATGTTTCGTTTTTTTTTGTCTCAATCGATGTTATAATACAGTTTTATATGGTTCTGAAAAAATAATAATTTTTTTTTGTTGAATAAAATATAAATATGAAGATATATCATAAAAATTTGATTTTTTTGATACTAGTATCAAACTAACTATTTAAAATTTCTTATTTCTTTGTGTATTTTTATAATTCATTTTTTTATTTTTGTTTTAATAATATAATCTTTTATAAATATATTAATTAAGTATTTTATTAGAACTTAATGATTATCCTGATTATATTTTAGATTTTATATATTTAAAGTGAGATGTTTATCCTTTATTTGATTATGTTTATCTACAGTTAGTTACACAAATTCGAACATGAAGTTCTAATAAGTTGTAATTATGCATAATTTACTTGTAATATTGAATTTTAAGTAATATACATAAATAAACAGTACTTAATGTATAAAAATAGTTTTTAAGAGTTTTTATCAAATATTTTATAATATAGTATAGATGAGTAAATGACATTCGATAAACACTTAACCAGTAATCGTTTGATAAAACAACCTAAGATTTATAAAGTTCAAATATAAAAAAAAGATACAATAAATCACATTTGACATAAATCTAATAAATGATTTTAACATGAAACACACATAAAACAGCTTTTTGACTTTTCAAATTTGTTTTTCAAGACTCGTTGGCCGGTTCAAACCGACAACATGAGGTCCCTTTCAATTAATCCAATAAGTCCTTTTACTTTCAAACAATTACACTTAACCCCTTAAACTTCTTATGTGTTGTTTGTACTACACCTTAAATATCCGATAAACTTGCTCCTGATGCTTAAATCAATTTCAAGTTACACAACACTTTTACATGTCGAGATCGATAACAAAGGAATGATTCATAGTTCTTGTGTTAATTTCTACGAACGTTTAATATATTTAAAACCATCAAGGACTGAAATATTATAAAACAAAACCAGATGGATGTTAAATGTAACATTCATTTTGATAATTTAAAATTAGAGTGAACTACACCGGTGGTCCCTATGGTTTGCTCAAATTTTAGATCTGGTCTCTAAAATAAACTATATACATCAATGGTCCCTTACTTTCCAATTTCACGACACTCAATATCTCTGAAGTTAACATTGTCAGTTAGTAATTGTTAAAAGGGACAAATCAATATTTGGACAAACTACAGTGACCAAAAGTGTAATTCGCTCTAAAATTAATTGCGGTTCACATATATTGCAGTAAATTGCACTTTCGTCCCTATAGTTTGTCCAAAAACTGATTTGTCTCTTCAAACGGTTAAACTAACGTTGTTAACTATAAGGACCTTCAGTTTTATGAAATTGGAAAATTAGGGACTATTAGTGTAAATGTTTGTTTTAAGAATCATATCCAAAATTTGAGTATATCACAAGGACCGACAGTTTAATTCACTTTTAAAACTGTATAAAAAGTATAATAATAAATATGTAATAGAGACAACATGACTTATAACCTGGTCATCAGTCATGGCCATCGCCCATCGGTGGCATTCAACATCTTTCTTCAAAATTGACAATCTAACTGATAAATCAATCGTTTGCTGATAACTACTTGTTAATTAACTTTTACGTTAATAGTTTGAATTAGGAGCCAAATCAGTAAAATAGATTTTTAAAAAAGTAAATAATTTTTAATTGAAATTCATTAGGAAAATAATATTTATTTATTTTATTAACCTGGATATCCAACTCGCTATGCGAGCCGACTAACCCCAAGACGACCACCTGCTTTGCAGATATCCCGAAGTCATCGCATTTGAATCTCCGTGGCCACAAGGGGATTTTTATTTCTCCTTGGATTTGAACCTGAGACCTCCTGGTACTTTAAACTTTTGAAACAAAACTCAAACCAATCAGGCACCACCCTTGTGGTTATATTCAATTTTCTTATACAATACATATTAAGGGTTATTTCATTGGTTTTTTAATTAATTCCTTGGTGGATAAAATTGACCGTATGTATTAATTTGTCTGTATAGATTTAGAAATTTTTATTTGAGAAAGTTTTTTCATAGATGAAAATAATGTATTTTTTTTAATTCGAGGTTTAGGAAAAACTTAACTTTTTATATAAAGCGTTTACCTTAAAAGCTTATTAAATAGGGAAAATTGTATCAAAATGGAACCAACTTTCACCTAATTCCTATTTTGGGGAACCAACTTTCAAAATCGTCATTCTGGGGAACCAATTTGCACCTAATTCCTATTTTGGGGAACCAACTTTTAAAATCATCATTTTGGGGAACCAACTTGCACTTGATTCCTATTTTGGGGAACCAACTTGCAAAATAATTATACAAAATAAATAAAATTCGTTTTTTTCCAAAAAATTAATGCAATAAAATCTATCTTTCATTGCAAATCTAGTTTTTTTTTAATTCAGATATCAAATTGAACATTTAAAAAAAATCCAAATTACCACAATAAAAATTGTTTTTTACCAATGCAAAAAAAATCAATTTAATAGAAAAAAATTAATTGATGCGATAAAAAATAAATATTAAATATCACATTCAAGATTTTTTATATTTAACCAATTGCATCAATTAATTTTTTTCTATTAAATTGATTTTTTTGCATTAGTAAAAAACAATTTTTATTGTGGTAATTTGGATTTTTTAAAAAAATGTTCAATTTGATATCTGAATTAAAAAAATGAGATTTGAAATGAAAATAGATTTTATTGCATTAATTTTTTTAAAAAAAAACGATTTTTTGTTATTTTTCTGTAATTATTTTGCAAGTGGTTCCCCAAAATAGGAATTAGGTGCAAGTTGATTCCACAAAATGACGATTTTGAAAGTTGGTTCCCCAAAATAGAAATTAGGTGAAAGTTGGTTTCATTTTGATACAATTTTCCCTATTAAATAAGCCACTTTATATACCATTAAACCATTATCAAACGTAAGTTTATTAAAGGGCAAATTTGCATGAAAAAGTAAAGTAATTTAATTTGATATATTTTGGATAACGTACTCTCAAAACCTTCATTTTGATACATAAGATATAAAATTTTAAATATTTAAATGTTCGATAACCGGTTGAAGACTAACTTTAAATTGAAAAAATCCATGTCCTTTACCACGTCAACAAATAATATTGAGTTGAATATCATATCACTCACCACATCAGTATAATAACCGATTATCTAAATACTTAAATGTTTAAAACTTTACATTTTAAATATCAAAATGAATTTTTGAAAATATGTTACAAAAGTAAATTACTCGATTTTAACTCTTAAGATTAATTAATGGTCGAAATCACCGGTCTCATCTTCTCCATCCTTCATTTCCCGCCCGGAGGCCGCCATTTTCGATTTTAAAGCAAAAAGCTTTCACCGGTTTGATCGGTAAAGTAGCAGTCGGAGAACGCCGGCGTCATGGCATCGACATCAGCTCCTCGAAGCGAGACAGGTTCATCGAGGATGAAATCCGCCGCTTCCACTCTTTGCTACGATAACCAAACACTCCTTGCTGTAAGTATTCGCTCCATCATCTTTTGCTTTCATCAAAATCCCCCAGTTGTAAATCGAATCACTCTTTGATTTTGATTTTTGTTTCCAGGATATTCGAAAAGCTATGGGTACCATGAAGGAAATTGGGGTTAGTCTGGAGAAACAACACAAAAGCCAAATGGTACGTTGAAATTATTTCTAGGGTTTCAATTTTGTTTTGTAAAAGTAACAATAGTTATTGCTAATATGCAAGGATTGGACGGTACAGTGATACCTAACTCCATATAAATGTGGAATCGTTTAAATCGGCAATGGTGCAGGTGAAGGAGCTTGAAGCTGAGTTTATGGAGTTACTGAAAGCTTATGAGGATTGTGCTAATCTTTCCTCTGCAGTTGATTCTGTTGGAAATATGTATCGTCCCAATGAACAGGTGTTGGACTCGCCATCCATTTGCATTTTCCTTACAAGCTTCTTAATTCTTCAATCTCGTTTGATTTTTGGTTGGATTTTGCTAATTCTAGTACAATTCTTGCTGATTATTTTAATTTGCAGGTTACTGATTTTAAGAAGCTGCTAGACGATGAGATGGCAAAGACAAAACGTCATTCATCATCTGTTCCACAAGTTAATCAATTATTTCGCCAGTTCAGAGAAGCCATCTGGGTAACTTATTCCATTACCACTCAAAATTCCATTCATGGGTTTGCGGGATAATTACTAAATCCTATTGATGTGTGCACGAGATTTAAACTCCCAACCGATCAATCAAACTTGGTTGAGTAGGTTTGTTGTTGTCTGTGTGTCAATATGTCACTTGGTCTATCTGAATGCAATAGCACTCGGTCTCTCTCCCTGAATTTATCGTACTCACCAATTTTTTATCGCTCCCAGTAAAGGTATGGGGGAACAGGTGTTCGCTAATCAACTAGAGGCCCACATAGGGGCATAGTCATGGTTTAGCTGAAAGCTATATAATCGAAGAAATTTTTTATACGTGAATGCGTGTTCAATCCGAGTTTGATCAATATGAATAGAGTATCATTTTCTGTGATACCTCCCTATCTGCTTTCTGGGGATTCATTTGTTCTCATCAAGAGATAAGGATGTTGAACTCTTGATCCCCCTTTTACTTGTGTAACTGAACCCTGTTTACCATGGTATCACACTTGGGCAAATCAAATGAGTTTTGGTTATACTCTAGATGGTATTGTTTAAGTGGTAAGTTATTTATCAAGGTAGTCTTTGTTTCACTGTTTTGAAGTTTTCTTGAATATATGTTCTCTTTTGTTTTACACAGAATGTGCATAATTCAGGACAACCCATGCCTGGTGAAGAACAGGAAGATATTGTAATGACTAGTACACAAAGCATCCTTTTAAATATTACTTGTCCACTAAGTGGCAAACCAGTTGGTCAACTCTCGGAACCTGTTCGCAGGTTTGATCTTCATCATCTGATTCACTGCTAGCATTTTCTACCAATGTGATAAGCTATTTCAACTACGAGTTATGTGTTTATGTAGACATTAAAACATAAATGGTTAGTATATTGAAAACATATATATAAAGCTCTAAAATAAGCACTACATATTAGCTTACTTTCTGCACCATTCAGATCACATAAGATGATATATCTCTTGTTCAGCTAAATTTCATCAAATTTTATACAACTCTTGCAATGGATAATTTAAAGTGCCAATTCAGGAAATGTACCTCTTTCGTGGAATTAATGAAAGTGAATGTGCTTTGCCATTGTTAAACATCATCTGTTCCTGATGGTTCAGAAACAGAAAGAATTGCATATTGTAGTTGTTAGCACACCCTTGAAAGTGATGGAACATTAAATCTCAATTAGGGTTTTTACTTTTTAGGTGCTCATATATCCCACGAGTCTTTTGCAGTAGGGGCTATCATGATCAAGTAGTTTCAAATTCGTTGATTTTGAGGCCCTTGATTATGTTAAAAAACATTAGAATGAATTTATAGCTACCAGATTTGTGTATCACTAATTTTGATAGCTCTAGGATCAAGAAGAAAATGTTCTATGTTCACTGGGAGTAACTCATCATGTTAAGCTCAAGTGACCAATGTCACTCCGGGAATATTGCTGCTGTTTTCTTTTTAAACTGGCAAAACTTYTATAAMTCCTTGATGGCTTTTTTTTTGTTAGGTAACCTCATTACAGCTTCCAAAACAATCATTATTTCATAGAAATAGAATAACATGTATTCTTTCAAATGCCCTGTGCTGTAGAAGTGTAACCTCATTACAGCTTCCAAATGATTTCGTACAAATAGAATAACATGTACAAGATCCTCCGTCCATGTGATAAGTTGATTTTTGCTCCGCGTGACCCTTCTTCCTCATGTTACAAAATCAGTTTTGCTCTTTTAACTGTAAACCGATTGTCTAGCTCACCGCTTGATATTAATTTGGTTTGTTTGATTGGGTCGATCTTATATTCTTTGGTTCTACAGTACAACCCTTTTTCCATGTCTTCTCCCACAAGAATAACCTTCTCACGAATTTAACATTTCATTTGCTATCGAAACATCCCTGTATTTTGGTGCTCAAAGTCAAACTCATACAGTATTGGCTCACATTATCATACGAATGTTATATGGTGCTCAAACTTATAGAATCTTGGCTAGATCATAAAATGTTGATTGCCTGAGGTCATTGTGGATAGTTTTGTCAAATGTGAAAGTATTTTAGTGTACCATGTGGTTGATATATGGACCTTGTTGTATTGCTAATATTCTACATGCAATCTCTTATTTATCTAATAAAAGATAAGAAATTAATACCATTTACCTCCACTTTCTATTTTATGGGTCCAGAATCAAATCTGCAGTTTTTCTCAAACAACATGAGATAAAATGAAAATGTTGCTAAAAGTTGCCATCTTTATTTTCGTTATATTGCAAATTTTTGATTCATTATGGATTTCACCATGGTACTAATACTTTTACAGTATGGACTGCAAGCATATATACGAAAAAAAGGTTATCATGGAGTACATAAGGTCCAAGCATGGCCAACCTAAATGTCCAATGGCAGGTACATGCAAAATATCACGATTATCTTTATACACATGATTTGGCTACTCCATTCCTGACCATGTTATCTCTTCTTTCAGCATGCCCGAAAAAAATTGTGGCAGAAAGAGTGGTTTGTGATCCCTTGTTACGCGTCGAAATTGAGGAATCTTGCGCAATGAACAAGCAAACTGTCAGGCCTAATGTCATAGAGGATTTCACAGAGGATTTAGAACAAGAAGATTCCGACTGAAGCAGACTTTTAGAAAACTCAATTGTGAAAAAACCCTAGATTTATCAAGTGATTGGTATTTGTTTTTCTTGTTGTGTTTGATTAGTGCTATTATGTGGAAAAGAAATTGCGCAACTATGAAACCCTTTTTGACACAATCTTCAGTAATGAGATGAAAAGGTTCAGGTTCTATTGTTCTTAAACTGCTTTCATGCAGGATCAAACTACACATCACAACAAATCGGCTTTACAGGAAGCCAGGTATGTCTAAGGGGCTGTTTCGTTGGTTTTCCATTAAGTCTTGTATGGATAAAGCTGTATGTGTGGATTAATTTGTCTCTATATCGAAGGAGCGTGTTTTTTAATTGGGAATGACAGTTTTTTCCTAGCTTTCTGTATAAAGGCCCCCCCCCTAGAAGCTTACTGAATAAGCCACCTTTCCATCATTAAGCCATTACCGAACAATCATGTATAGTTGACCAAAAAAGCTGCGAGTCCCATTAAGCTAATTAAGATGCTAACAAACAAGCCCTAAATGTATTATTAGACTGCTTTGTAGGACTTGAGATTATAGGACCAACCAATTGTGTAGCTTGTGTAAAAGGTGTTATAATAGGACATTAGGCCATGTTTTGCATTCTAAAAGGTTTTTTAGGACAATTTTGAAATAAAGTGTACGAGTATAACATTTTTTCAAATAATGTCATATAAAAAGACTAATGGGACGCTTTTTATTTCAAAAGTGTGAAGACTTGTTAGGACGCTTTTATGTAACACATTTATAATTGCATAAGAGACATAAGTATTTGGTCCTACAAAGTTAATTCATATAAAACAGTATATTAAGACATTTAGACATATTTGGCGTCCTATAAAACCAAGTTTATTGTAGTGACAGTTTACAAGGCTCGTGCTCTACCACCGAGCTATAGAGGCTTATTTGCCTTGTTGGTTCTTCTACCGGCATCCTCTTTTCTACTGCTACTTCCACTTTCATTGGAGATGAAGTAACAGAGTATGCAATCACAAAGGTCACCTCTTATCTTGACTACTGTTGCTTAGATTTATAAAATTTAGATCTAATTATCTTTTGGTGGGGAATATTTTATTGTGTATTGTTGTGGAATTTAGAAGGCAAACTAACATGAAGCTGATGTATGTTTGTTGCAGGAACACATTGGTGATCATGGATGATTGTTATAAAGCTCCAAGAAACCTTTATCTATTGGACCTATCCTCCATGGCCCCACACAGGGGTATGTCTGCATACTTTCTTTGTAAGTTTGTATTAAGATTTATAAACCAGTTCTAATTTCTAACATACTTGTTTGCATTTAATCTTTCTTGAATATGTATATATATATATAGAGAGAGATCCAATCATTTGTTAACCACTTAAATAGTGTTAACTATACAAACCCATATTAGCCAATCAAATGCCAAACTCATTCCTTGTTTCATAACACGCCTTGGTTAAATATTAGGGGTAGTTTTGTACTTTTTATTCATTTTTATTAGCGGTTACCTAATCATATCCCTATTTTTAGGGAGGATAATTATATCCCTACTTTGAGAGAGAGAGAGAGAGAATTGCAATGCGAGAAAAATAGGGATATTATTAGGCGGTCACCTAATCATATCCGCAAGTAGTTTTCACTTCACTCATTTTCATATGTGAAACTAATGTACAAAAGTTCATCCATATTATCTACATGCACTAAGACATGATAATCATAGGTGAACATAAAAAATATGCTACTTGGGAAAAGCTCAACTGAAGGTGTTTGTTTGTGAATTTGTATGTATACACACAATTTCATAAGCGAAACGATACACATAATTTCATAAGCAAAACAAATAATACACACAATTTGATAAGCGAACATCAGAAAAAAGAATACACACAATTTCATAGGTCAACATCTGAATTCTGAAAAAGAAATGCAAATAAAGTAATTGTCCAAAAATACCCTTTGTTCACTTATGATTTCAAATATGAATGCACATTTCATTACCCAATATTCCAACATTGCCACTAATTCCATCTAATCCGTTGGTTACCAATTTTAATGGATGAGATTTGGTTAAAGAAGTTTACACTAAATGTTTGGTTAACAAATGAAGGGGCCTCTCTCGTGTGTGTATACATATATATACATACATATACATATATATACATATATATTCTATGTTATACAAGTAAGCAATACTGCCAATCAATAGCCTGTTTGATTAAAAAAACTATGACAATAGATATAATATCTTTTGTGGTACTGTAGTAGTCTATAAACAAAGAACCTGCACATGGGTAGTTTGCTGGCAATACCCATTTTCTTATATTCACTTCCCAACCTCCAATCACTAAATAAACTACCCCCCTTTCCTTAAATTCATGCACAATATTTTAGAAATCAACAGGTTCATTGCTCATATATATGGAATTGGAATCCTTTATTATATTTAAATTTACAGCAATCTCAATGCCACATGAGTCAATCCCACTTCACCTCTACCTCCAATCATAATCATCTTCATTCACAGCTTGTTCCACCATCATAACACAATCATTCAAGATCATCATCCTTAAATCTCATCAAGATTGTGTGTTTTTAAGATATGGAAGAAGCTGGAGATCTTTTGGAAGCTAGTTGGTTCTTTGAGAACTTGCTTCACACAAAATCAAGAACCATGTCTAGATGCTATTCTGATCTCTCTTCTAGTTCTTGTCCTCCTCCTCTTCATTCTCATCCTCCATTGTGTTCGACCGAAGAACACGTCGAGATTGAGGAGAAAGGCTCTAGTTTTTCTTCAAGAAAGCAACCACCCGTTGCTTATCCTGGTTTAACCAAGACACCATCGTTGCCAAATTCTACTGAAACACAATCTTTTCTAACAAAAAAGCCGAACCCAAGTCCTAATTTGATGCGGGGATCTTCCATTTCAACTTCCTTAGTTGGAAGTGATCCAGAAGTTATTAATGTCAAGAAAGAGGGAAAAAGCTCTAGCTTCTCTTCAAGAAAGCAACCACCCGTTGCTCGTCCCAGTTTAACCAGGACACCATCGTTGCCAAATTCTATAGAATCACAATCTTTTCGGATGAAAAAGCCGAACCCGAGTCCTGATTTGATGCGGGCATCGTCCGTGCCAACTTCTGTAGTTGGAAGTGATCAAGAAGATCATATCAATGTCAAGAAAGAGCGAAAAAGCTCAAGCTTTTCTTCAAGAAAGCAACCGCCCATTGCCCCTCCAAGTCTAACTAGGGTACCATCTTTACCAACTTCAATAGAAACTCAATCTTTTCTAACGAAAAAGCCAATCCCGAGTCCTTATTTGACCTGGACATCATCCATGGCGACTTCGGTAGTTATAAGTGATCAAGAAGATGAAGAAGAAGAAGATCAAGAAAGTGAGTTTACTTTGGGGAGATTGATAAGGCAAGCATCCATGAACTCTTCACACACATTGAATCAACCTCGACAAACGCCTAAGGTACACATCCATTCAACAAGCACTACAACATAATCGATCTTATAGGACACCAAAGATGTCTAAATATTCTCGGGCTTAAGTTTATAGGACCAAACAATAATGCATCATATATAAAAGTTACACCAAGTTGTGAGGACATATTTGGACATCATCACAAATTTTTTAAGAACACTTATTCTAATACCCTTTTTATAAGACATTTTTGATAAGTGTTCTATGAACACATTTTTATAAGACACTTTCAAAAGAGTCGTATAAAAAGACTAACAAGACGCATCATTCCGAAATTCTTGTAAAAAAACTTGTTAGGATGCAAAACACGTTCTATCAACTTATTGTAACACCTTTACCACAACTGTTTGATCCTGTAAACTTCAATTCTAGTGTTTGTTAGCAACTTAATGAGCTTAATGGGACTCACATCTTATTCGGTTATACATGACTGTTTGGTAGTGGCTTAATGATATAGAAAGTGGCTTATTCAATAAGCTTCTAGCGGGAGTTTTATGCAGAAAGCCAAGTTTTTACCGAACCTGTCCTTCTCAATTAAAAAAATACCCATCTATGAAAAATCTCTCAACCAAAAACCTTCTCATTCTATGCAAACATATTAATTCACACAAACAACTTTATCCATAGAGAAGTTGATGGAAAACCAACCAAACAACCATTTAGACGCATTTGACGTCTATGAAGCCGATTTTGTGTAGTGTAGCTTTGCAAAAAAATTCTAGATTCCATGACCCTAGAACAACCTTATATAGAATATCAAGATTTGTATATATATATATATATATATATATATATAATTAGAGATTGGTTTTTGCAGACATTTACAGAAAACATGCAAAAGAAACCCGGATTACATCAAGAAAAGATCGGTGATATGGGATCGATGGAGAAAAACCAAAGCAAAAGCAGAAAGGATAGTGGAAGGAACTATGGCGGCGGCGGCCGCGGTGGTGTTGGTGGTTCTGTAATTCCAGGAGGATGGGTTGATAAGAGTTCATCAGAAGACATGAAGGCACACATCAAGTTTTGGGCTAGAGCTGTGGCTTCTAATGTGCGCCAGGAGTGTTCATGATAGCAAATCCATTCGAATTAATAATAAAATACACATCTGGATCATGACAGAAATAAGGTGATCAAAGCTTTCTTCAGATTCATTGTATGTCTAATTCTTGCAAGATTGGCTCTACATCTATCTTGTCCCTTTAGAGACTTGTAAATGTTTGACTGAATTACATAAAGGGTCCCTGAACTATTGTATGATTTTCATTTTGGCCCCTTCGGTTTTCATGGCAGGCCATGAAATCAAGAAACCGAAATGCGGTGTTAACAAGGTGTGTTGTATTTAGAGACGAAAGTATTCGGTTATTAAGGAAAGATTAAATATCACCTTTAATTTTTAGATAAGTTGATTTGACATTTTCGACCCGTATCTAACACGTGAATCCAAGAACGCACGCTTCATAGTCGAATGGTCACATTCGTCCTAAAAAACGAACACATTCTATTGCTTGTATAAATAGGGTGTTTTACACAAATCTCGTACAGTGTCAACACGATGGTGTGTTTGTGTGTGTAGTACCTCTTCATTAATGGTGTGTTAGCGTTTTCTTCGTTTTTTGTTTCGATTTTCATAAATTATGATTTAGGGTTTTTAATTTAGATTTGATAATGGTAGGCAAAGGTTGTGTTAATGGTGGTGATTAGGTAAGTGATGAAGATAAAAAGTAATCAAGAAGATGAAAATTTATAATTGAATGATAAAGATTGAACAGGTTAATTAGGGTTGCTTGGTAGTTGTTGAATGGTTTAGTGCAGAATGATTAAGAGGCTCTCATGATATAGTGWAAAATGAAATATAATTGTTTGGTAATTGTTTATAATGGAATTAGGGCGTTGAATGGTTAAGGGAGACCCATGATGCAAAATCATTCAGAGTATTTTAGAACCATTAAGAGACATTTTTTTTTTTGGAAAACAAGATTCATCTCTTAACGATTCAAAGACTGTCTCTTAATGGAACCATTACGAGGTAAACAAACAACTTCTTACTGTCAGAGTAATTAATGTCTTGAACTAGTGTCAATATATAATATAATTATGCTTTATATGTTCTTCATGCTCCAGTAACGTTTTCCCTACATTTTGGAGTTGATTGGATCTTACTTTTCCTTACAATCTTCTGTCTGTCGGCTACCCATGTTCTCCTGTAGACCTCTCTACCTCGCGATGTTCTACAAACGTCTATCGGGTACACGCTTAATCAAGGTCCTCCGTTTTCCTAGCATTGCTATTACCATCGAACACGTATTGAATTATATTGAGCAAAAACGATGCTCATCCTACCAATATTGAAGCCCTAACAGAGGAAATTTGACTCGGGATCGAGGTTCTTCGCTATTCGAGATCGACATGAGTAAAACAATCAATTCTTCTGCTAATCGCTTTCTCTACATGGATACCTCTATTGAGCGTGTATCAAACTCAATCGAGCATGTGTTGAACGCTATCAAGTTTCATTAACATTAACCTTATCAAGGGGTTGTTTGGTTGGTTTTCAATTGAGTTCTGTATGGATAAAACTGTTTGTGTGGATTTATTAAATTGAGAATGTTTTTGTTTAAGAGGGTTTTAACATAGATGGGAGAAACATGTTTTTTTTTAATTAGGACAGATGTAGAAAAAAACTTGACTTTCTACGTTAATCCGTTCTAAAAATCTACTGAATAAACCATTTTTTATATCAATAAACAACTACCACAAAATTTATATATATATATATACATACACACACATGTATGTATGTATGTATATGGTTGGGTTCACGTGAGACCATCATGTTTTCATGAGACATCTTTTTTACATTTGAAACTTCACAGCAAACCGTCGTGAAGGTAATAAAAAGTCGAACCTTTACAAAAAAAAAACTGTAATCTCACAGGTCTCATGAAAACATATTGATCTCAAATGATCACAAGTCTATATAAATATAAATATAAATATAAATAAATAAATAAATAAATAAATATATATATATATATATATATATATATATATAAAGAGAGAGAGAGAGATGATGTTTACTTTACAAATCACGTTATTTGTTTAACCCGTACAAATCTCATTCAACCAATCATAATTTTTCATTTTGTTCATTTTTTTGCAATTATAATGGAGGGTGTTAATCATGGATATTATCATCTTCATTATTTTAATTTTAGAGAAATACATAAAACAGTTTCATTAAAATTTCATTTAGTATTATATGAAATAATTTTATAATCATATATGAAACAATTTCATCAAAAAAAGTATTATGTAAAATAATTTCACAAGATTAAACAATTTCAGAAAAAAATTCATAAAATTAAACAATGAAATCGATGAATAAAATAATTTACACGATTTATATAAATTAAATGATTTGCATTTCACCTCTTAAATTATTAATATCTTTAAATATGCTAACACTTTATCCAACTCAAATTCCCGGTTCAAATACAAAGATATTTATCAATTTATCCAAATTCAATATCACACTCCCATTTCTTACCTCAATCCACCACCACCACCGCCACCTCCATCATCGATGTTGCATTCCCCACCACACCTTCTCTCCTCCTCCTCCACCCTTCTCCTACCTCGCTTCTCCCTCCTTCCAAATCCCAATTTTCTCAGAACCTCCATCAAACCCTATTCCATTTCGCAACAATTCTCCACCAGACATATCGTTCCATTGCTAGCTCAACTCTCCGGCTCACCCAGACCGGAAGACGGACCCGTCGAGCTTCCCTTCTCTCTCCCCTCATTTATCTCCACCAACGATGACCCTTCCACTCTCCAAGTCGCCACCAGCGTTCTCCTCACCGGCGCCATCTCCGTCTTCCTGTTTCGCTCCCTTCGTCGACGTGCAAAGCGTGCCAAAGAACTGGTTCATTCCTCTCTCTCTCTCTCATATTCTCACTTTCAGAGCATAACTGTAATTCACCATAGAATTTGAATGCCGATTTAACATCTGGCTCATATGTTAGGGTTTAATTTGTGTATTATGATGCGGAATTGAATCAATTCGTACTTATACTCAAGTATTAGCAATATTTGAATTGGGAATTTTGTTTATTGGATTAGCAATATTTGAATTGGGAATTTTGTTTATTGGATTAGCAATTTAGGTCTACAGGAGCTAAAAAAACGTTGAAGGAGGAGGCAATGGAGAGTTTGAAAGCAATGTCGCCGGTTGAGGCAAATGCTCCTCCGTCCCCTCTTCAGGCGTTGCTCGGAGGTTTATCTGCCGGAGTTATTGCACTTATTCTTTATAAATTCACTACCACCATTGAAGCTTCTCTGAATCGACAAACAATTTCCGATAACTTTTCGGTATGTGTTTTTATGAATCCTCCTTCATCCCTTCCGGTATTCTTTGAACTTCATAAGGTCAAAATCTGAATCCCACTTGGGGGCTATTTTGTTCGGGAAAGATTTTGTTTGAGAGGGTTTTTCATAAATAGAAGGAGCTTGAGTTTTGGAAATAAAACTCCCCTGAAAGCTTATTGAATAAGCCACTTTTTATATATTAAACCACTACCAAATGGTCATGTATAGCTCACTGAATAAGCTGTGAGTCCCATTAAGCTATTTAAGCTGTCAACAAACAAATCCATAGGGCTGTTTGGTTGGTTTTCTGTTGAGTTCTGTTGAGTTCTTTAGGATAAAGTTGTCTGTGTGGATTAATCTGTTTGTATAGATTGGGAACGTTTTTGTTTCAAAGGGTTTTTCATAGATGGAATGAAGATGCTTTATAAACTTTAATTGGGAGAGGCATGTTTGGATAAAACTTGGGTTTCTGCATAAAGCTATGCCACTACCAACAATCATGTATAGCTGACCGAATAAGCTGCGAGTCCCATTTAGGCTATTAAGCTGCTAATAAACGGACCTTTAGTTTCTTTTGTATTGTTTGTTTTCTGCAAAATTGGGCTCAGGGTTATAATCACAATCAAGAAATGGTGCTTTAATTTAGGGTTTGTAGTTTCAGTAGTGTTTTGACATCATTAGCATAGTTAAGAAGAATCTTGAACATTTGTTTATGGGAGGCAAGACAAGATCAAATGAGAAGGTGGGAAGTTCCAAGAGAACACGTGATTACGGAGTAAAAATCACATGTGCTACAAGCCTACAACATGTTCGAAAGGAAGTGGGCGACTTGGTCAACGCAACCAAGGGTCACGGGAAAGGTCGTTCGCTATATGGCGCGTCAACGCAACATGTTTGTATCACATGTGATTACGTGTTTCGTATCACATGTAAGATTTTGAAACTTCTCGCAATTTGACCGACTGCCTTCTTATTTGATCCTGCCTCCCGTTTAATGTAGCAATTCATAATTGTGCGTTTGGTACGCGAGACCGGACATAAACGAAACAGAACAAAAACTTCTTGTCACCTGTTGGGTCCCACATTTGGTGTGACATTTAGACATGGAGAGGACATCATTGACCGAGACACCAAAATAGGTGGAACAGATTTCTGGGGGTCAGGTAAAGATTGGTAAATTACTAAACTACCCCATATGCCAGATAAAACCCTAAAAACCTTGCACAGTTCTTTCACCAACCTACCTCCCTATCGCCCGTTCAGTCTTGTCTAGCCCTGTCTTGCACATAAAGGATAAAATGGTTGGTTCTTCTCTTTGCAAACTCTTTTAGTTTAGTTCCCATGTCTGATTCATTAAGATGGTCTTCCATCTCTTGTTCATCATAAACTCATCGACCCTTTTCGTTCATTCTCATCTTTCGGCTCAACTTTGTATAACGAAACCTTTGCGTTGCAGGTCAGACAGATCACAATAACGATAAGGTAGGTGTATGCATACATCAACCCTCACCATTTTTTGTAGTTCTTGTTCGATTCTAATCCCGTGACCTAATTTTCAAGATGATTGCGTGTAGGACTATTATAAATGGGATATGCTACCTTGCGACATTCGTTTTTGGCATCAACTCTGTTGGGTTAATACTCTACTCGGGCCAGCTTGGCTATAATGCGATAATGGAAGATTCTTCGAGCGACAAAATGCAGAGTTCGGATGAAACGCAAGTGAAATCCAATGAGTCTGAAATGAACATGAATGATGGAGGTCAAGATTCAAATAGCAGGAAACAGTGATGATGGAGATCAGAAAACAGGTTTCAGTTTTTGAATCCTATTTGTAGTATATGTCTCTATATATATATATGATATTTTCATCACATATCATTCATTTTGATAGCATTGATGCAAATCCTTCAACTCCCTGCCTACATATTCATATTGATATATATATATATATATATATATATATATATATACTAGAATCGTACTCGCGCAATGCAGCGAGATATATCGTGATTTTAATATTTCATTTTATTCTTTATCTTAGTCGATGTTATAATATGACTTTATGTTATTTTAAGAAAGCGATGATCTTTTTATTTTTGAATAAAATATATGTTTGAAGATATCATAAAAATTTGACAAAAATATATCGATATTAGTATCAAATTAAC